GAGGTCAAGGTCTAAATTCATATTTTTGCGCGTGGATACAAAATGAAAAGTCTATCCTTTGTCAATTTAATTACCTAGGTATCATTGTCAAATTGATCATAAATGTAAAGATTTGTTTCCACACTCTCAGTTCCATCCACTGATGTATATGTAAACCTTACGTTGCAACCACATTGTCCTAATAAATGTAGTTTGCAGTTGTTGACACTTTATAAATATATAGTATATTTTGAAACTGGGAATTGACCCTAGGATGTCCCCATGACACCTACCCCCTGGGGTTCATGCCTTGTATAAGCCCCTCTCCCTTGACTGAGGGCAGAATCTGTGACTTCATTTTAGCTCATACAACCTTGCAGAGATGAAGGGATTTTTAGATGTAATTAAGGTCCCAAATCAGTTGATTTTGAGTTAATAAAAAAGAGACGTTACCCTCGGTGGACCTGACTTAATCAAGATAAAGCTCTTAAAAGAGGAACGGAGCCCTCCCTGTTGTTGATTGATTCCCCTTGCTGGTTTGATCAATAAGCAGCCCCTGTGACAGAAACTTTGGGTGGCCTGTAGAACCTTAGGATGGGCCTCCAGCCAACAGCCAGCAAAAGCCAGGACCTTTAGTCAGACAATCACAAAGAAAAGAATTCTTTTGACAACCTGAATGACCTTGGAAACAAAGCCTGCGGATGAGAAGGCAGCCTGGTCAACACCTTGGTTTCCGCCTGGGAGACCCTGAGGAGATAACCCAGCTGAGCCCTGCCCAGACTCTTGACTGAGAGAAACTGTGTGACTATAAATATGAGTTGCTTTAAGCTGCTAAGTCAGTGGTAATTTGTCATGGAGCTAATACGATATAAAACTAATACGACAATAAAATTTCATATGTGGTGAGATAGGGTTACAAACTTAGAAACTAATTTAATCTGAGCAAACTGGCAAATTGCAAAGGACTATTTTGTCAGTGTCCTTGCTCCCTTTGGGGAGAAAGCAGAAGCTAGAGGCAGGCCAAGGTAGAGATGGAGGGGAATGTGAAAACTAAACCTTCCATAATTGTTACTGTGCACACTCAGCCTTCTAGAGTCCATTCTACTTGTAATATCTGAACCATTAGAAAAAAAAGATGACAAGAAAAGATCTTGGCCATGTATATGGAATATATCATAGAAAAAGGACATGAAAAATGGACAAGAAGGAAAGTACAAGTAGATAAGTATATGTAGAACTGAGAACCTACATTTGGGGAATAACACAGAGGTAGGAAAATCTGAATCAAAAAAGAAAAGATAATGATATCACAATTCATAGGTTTCTGAAAAACTGCAGAAGTCTTTTAATGTAAGCTCAAGCAGATAGGAGTGGTTAAACATCAAAATTAGAATGAGAAGATCAGCCTGTGTCTGAAAGATATATAGCTAACAATTTTGCAGTTCAGGGTACTTTTTCTTTGAAATGACTGAAAAGTTTTCGCTAAGTTTAAAACTCTTATCTAGAGTCCGGCCCCATGGCTGAGTGGTTAAGTTCGTGTGCTCTGCTTCAGCAGCCTGGGCTTCACCAGTCAGATCCTGGGTGCAGACCTACACACCACTCATCAGGCCATGCTGTGGCGGTGTCCCACATAGAAGAACTAGAATGACCTACAACTAGGATATACAACTATGTGCTGGGATTTTGGGGAGAAAAAAGAAAACAAAAAGAAAAAAGACGAAGATTGGAAACAGATGTTAGCTTAAGGCCAATTTTCCTCATCCAAAAAAGCATACTTTAAAACAATTTAAAAAAAAAAAACCTTTTATCAGGGCCGGTCCTGCGGCCCAGTGGTTAAGTTTGTGCGCTCCACTTTGGTGGCCCAGGGTTTAGCTGGTTTGGATCCTGGGCACGGACATGGCACTGCTCATCAAGCCACACTGAGGTGGCATCCCACACAGCACAACTAGAAGGACTCACAACTAAAAATATACAACTATGTACAAGGGGGTTTGGGGGAGAAAAAGGAAAAATAAAATATTTAAAAAAAATCTTTTATCTAAGCAAAACCTTGTGACATCTAGAAAAATGCACTGAGAAATAGAAAATTCCTGAGGAGTCCTAATGTAGTAAGGAAATAATTAAATTATACAATAAGTTGTGTGAGGCACACACACATCAACTTAAGAATTTTCTGTTTCAAAATGTGACATCTTTATCCAAATAACCTAGAGACACTGGGCTGAGGTGCTGGATGGAGAGGAGCATCTGAAAGAGCTGAGCATCTGTGAACAGCTATCTGGGGAGGTTTTCGTTTAGACGTAGATCACCGTGGGAGGATCCTCCTTACCTTGCTGGCAGTAGTAGTTTGCAGCATCGGCCTCCTCCACAGGATGAATTGTGAGGGTGAAATCAGTCCCAGACCCACTGCCACTCACCTTGGCTGGGACCCCAGACTCTCAACTGGGTGCTGCAGAGATCAGGAGTTTAGGAGGCTGTCCTGGTTTCTGTTGATACCAGTTAATAGGGCTAATAATGCCAAAATAATTACTGATACTCTCAATTGTCCTGCAGGAGATGGTGGCCCTCTGCCCTGGAGACCTGGTCAAGGAGGGTGGAGACTGGGTCAGCACAGTGTCCTAGTGAAGCCTGAAATGATAAACACAATAAACTTCACAGATGTACTGAGATCATCTCAACGTAGTTCCATTGCGTTGGTAACACTTGTAGTCACAGTCACAGACAATACTCTGAGTAACCGTAAAACTGGATAACTTGAACCTACAACATAAGCTTTAATTCTAGCGACCAAGAAGCCAGAGACATAGAAAGCATGATGGCCACAATGCATACCCTCCCTCTCACCTGCAACCAAGAGCAGCAGGATCCACAACGGGGAAGCCCTTGACCCTATCCTTGAGAGCTGAGCTAGAGGTTGCTCGTCAGGGGCCCCGACAAGCAGCCTTTTAGGATGCTGTGAGCAGCCTGGAGCTTTGTCTAATGACACAACATGCAAATCAGCTCGGAAGAATTTGGGTTGGTGCTCAAAAGGGACACCTGCTCATATTTCACCCAGTGGGAGTTGAGGTTATCAAAAAGTTTCTAAGTGTAGCTCAAGCACGTCCCTAGGGATTTTGTGACCCATTCTATTGATTCTTTGCCCCTTTGTCTGAGATGCCATGTGGGGGGATACACTGAGGCTGCCTTACCATAAAGATTTAAGTGGATCCAGAAATACTTTTGACTCCTCAAAATTGAAATTTCATATCACCTCAAATAAAAATGAATTTTAAGTTGTGATCATGATCAGGAAGAGAAAACAATGTTTTTTACAAAACAGTGGAACAGGGTGGCCTGGTTTTGATGGGGAGAGGAAGTTGGCCCCAGTGAGTAAATGAGCTTTAAATCAAGTCCTGAAACGTCATGAGGACCTCAAAAGGATGAGGGCTGGGAACCTAAACTAATTAATGAAGTTGCTCACTGCAGATAAGACAAAGTGTCTCCATCTGCTCAGTCCTGAAAACCAACACTGTGTCTTCCTGAAGCCCTCGGAGGCAGAGGAGGCACTCCACTGGGTCCTGTCCAGAGTGAACCACCAGCCTCTAACTTCTTGTTGCTCCAACTTTGTCGTCACCGGAGGCTAGGGCTGAGGAACCCTATGTTCTCTTATAGTAAGATATGGTTCCCCCAAAACACTGGCAATAGTTATATAATTGATATTAGATTTACTTTTGACTATGAAGTGAACAGAATAATTTACATCTGAAAATATTTCTTAGAGATTAAGAATGTACAATAAATCAACTGACAATAAGCTAGTGGCTCATTCTATTTAGTGTTCTCTTAGGCAACTACTTACATCAGCCTTTTTAGAATTGTTTAAATAATGTATCCCAGGTCAACTGCCCTTTTTTTTAGATTGAAAAGAGTATTTAGGAGCCTACCCCATGGCCTAGTGGTTAAGTTCGGCACACTTCAGGTTTGGTTCCCAGGTGTGGACCTACAGCACTCCTCAGCAGCCACGCTGTGGCAGTGACCCACATAAAAAATAGAGGAAGACTGGCACAGATGTTAGCTCAGGGTGAATCTTCCTCAGCAAAAAAAAAAAAAAAAAAAGCATTAAAGGAGAGTATTTTAAAAAAATTCTACATGGTATTTTCTTTACTCAGCAAACAAAATCATTGGCAGGATCAACACAGAGAGCTAGTCATCATCAACTCTAAGGCAAACTAAATAACTAGTGGCTACTTACACAGAAACCAACAGCAGCCTGGACTGGATCCTAGATACCTGTCAATCAGCTTCCAATCCAGTTTGTGGACAGAGAGGTGGATGTCTTTTCTCTACCTACACTCTAATTATCAACAGTGGAGAGTGGGTCAATGTTGTACTTACTGCTGTATAAAGTTATTCCCAATTCCCCAAAGGGTTATGACTCTGAACACAATCCCCAGGCCAGCTGGGCAGGGGGGATCTTTTGTGACACTTACTCTGCTTTTCCATAGCACCTGCACTGGAAGCAGAAACACTAACTTGCTTTGGAGAAAATTGTGTACGATGCAAGAGAAGGTCACACATCTTGTCCTGCAGCTGTTTGCCTGGAATAGAGGTCATTTTCCCTAATTCCCAGACACAGCATTGGTTACAGCATGAGTAGGCCGAGTGAGGGTCAGTGCAGCACGTCATTGGAGTTACTGGACCTGCCCCTGTCATTCTGACTCAGGGAAAGTGAAGCTCAAGTGTTTGGAAGATAGAATAATGCATGATAACACAAACTTCAGTTGTGAACCTAGAGAAGCTCCCAGGGCAAGAGAGTGATAGTAACAGGAAGATACAACAAAGGAATAAAATGGGAAAGTTCAGGGTCATCAGACACAGGGCAGAGACAGTTGATCCATCACGGTGTGAAGCACACAGTTCCCCGTGAGAAGCAGTTGAAGCCTTGATTGGCTTTGGTGATATAAATCCATCCTTATAGACGACTCTGATTCAGGTGATGCAAAACATCTTGAATGATGTTGAGAAGGGTCCATGGCAGGTTATTACAGAGTCTTCATAGAGTGACTTCCTTCCGCAAGAGACGCAGAACAAGCTAATCTACTCAAACATTCCATAAGACTTACACATTCTTCTACAATTAAGACAGGAGACATGGCCTCTCTTATAGCTGAGGGGCCTCTCAAACAGGTGCAGGAAAGCAGCAGCTGGTGCAGCAAAGACTCACTAACCCATGGTTTTGGGGAGGAGGTTTGTCTTTGAGGCTGAAGCACTGTGGGAGGAGAACTATACTCCTGCTGACAGCAATAAACTGCCACATCTTCAGCCTGGAGACTGCTGATGGTGAGAGTGAAGTCTGTCCCAGACCCACTGCCACTGAATTGGTCAGAAACCCCAGATGCTCTACTGGATGCCCAGTAGATGAGCAGCTTAGGAGCCTGGCCTGGTTTCTGCTGGTACCAGGCTAAGTAATTCTTCTGGTTGGAGCTACCGAAAAGACTCTGGCTGGACTTGCAGTTGATGGTGACACTGTCTCCTACAGACACAGCCAGGGAGCCTGGAGACTGGGTCATCACAATGTCCCCAGACAGCTGCAATCAGGAATGGACAGTGACCATACATTGCATCTTTAATATATTAAAATATACATTTTAAAAATGTAGCTTTTGTTATTTATCATATAATTAGACTGTTTTAGATGAAATGTTTGATTCATTCTGCTTGTAAAAATCATTTTCTGATTTTACAAAGATATTTCTCCTCTAAACCTCTTACCTGAGACCCAGAACACCAGGAGGATGAGGAATTGTGGCCGTGGCACCATCTTGCTGCCGCTCGCCTGTTGGATTCACTCAGGCTCCATCTCCAGGAAACCCCATTAATGGAGTTCTGAGCAGCCAGCCTGGTACCAGTGTTGCCTATGCAAAGCAGAGAGAGTATGAAAGCAACAGTTCCTGTTCAGTGAGTTGTGAAGACAAATAACAGAAAGAAGGAGACAAAAATCTCCTTACCCAGGAAACGTGATTGTAGGCCTACAGGGGACCTACAAATCAACTGAAAACTACGATTTTCAATACAGTTCAACAAAATTCCCAAATGTAATAAATATATGTTTATGAGCACATAATTCAGAACCTAATTGAAACAATATAAATATGCTGCCAGTAAACGAAATATAGTCACGCCACTGGTTAGAATGAGGATATCCTCCACACATCTATATCTCTATCTCAGACTCTCTTTTGATTTTTAAATACACATTTGAAGTTCCTCACTCACAATTCAAAGGCACTTCAACACATCTAAACAGACCTCTGATAGCTCCCTTTGCACAAACACTATCTCAGAAAATGTGTCACCACATACTTATGACTCTCTCTTTTCACTGCTCTTGGGTTAACTAGTTTCTCAAACAACATCTCAGATTCTCCCAACCTCTCCTTCACTAACAGAGCTAAGGTGTCACAGCTCCTCCTGGGGGTAAAAGGTGAAAAGCTTCTGCTCCCAAGCTCTGCTAGAGCCATTCTTCATTTTTCCCTGCTCAAAATCAAAAGAATATATCTATAGAATTACAGAAATAACAGTATCATGAACTCTCCTTGGCAGACAGCATTTAAAACAAATGCAACAGAACCTCCAACCTCACAGAGCTTTCATTTTAACGGCAGTCAGATAATAAACAAGACAAATAACATCTCTTCTGCTGCTCTCTCTGAGATCCTTACCCAGAAGTGAGGTTATTTCTCAGGGCCAGTGGGGCAGTGAGTATCTGGGTCAATTTAGTGTAACCTCACTCCTCAGCATGAACAGAGTCAGAGGAAGAAGGAGCAAGTTGGTGCAGTTAAACACTTGTGTTTCCTGGAAAAGTAAAGTCAATTGTAGTCTCATTAATTGCCAAGTATCCAGATCAGCTTTTGATCATGGACAGTGGACTTTCATATCAACATGTCCCTGCAGCATGAAACCACCCAACGCACAGACTTTTTCTTACATTCTTGTCAATAGATCTTGAAGTGGTATCATGGTTAAAATTTACATTTCCATGATGACTAATGATGCTGAGTAACTTCTCTTATGTTTATTTTGCATTAGCTATTTGGATATCTTCCTTCTTGGGAAAAGCTTGTTCAAATGACAGTTTGTCTTCTTTGAGGAGTTATTTATATATTCTTAAAATGAATCTTTTGTCATAAATATGCATTGGATACTGTTTCCCACCTTGTGGCATATCTATTTATGTTCTCAACGATATATTTGAAAAGAAGTTCTTAATTTTAATGGAATATCATTTATCCTTTTTTTCCTGTGATTGTGTGTCATATGTAATAAATATTGCTCATGTTTAGAGCCTAAAGATTTCCTTCTGTTTTTCCTCCTAGAATCATCATTATGTTATCTCTCACATGTAGTCTATGATCATCTTAAAAAAAAATTCTGGAAAGATTATTCTTTGTGTGAGCTAGTCCACTGAGCATAGTTTTGCCTGGTATGAAACTGACTGAAGTTTTTATTTCCACTTTTGATTAATTTCATTTCCATATGCAACTTGACCTTACTATTTATTGAAAAAGAAAAACAACTTTTAATCCACCCTATTGCCTTTGTTAGGTATCAAGTGACTGCGTATATGTGAATCTTTTTGTACTCTCTCTTCTACTCTATTTGCCTGTCTTTGTACCTACAGGACACTATACTGTCTTTACTGTAGCATTGTAATCAGTCTCAAAATCTGATATTATTAATCTTCTGACTTTATTTTTCTTCTTTAAGATTCTTTTGAATGTTCAATCCTTTAAATTTTTTTGTAAATACTAGAATCAGCTTATTGATTTCAAAAAAATCCTTAGGGGATTTTAATCGGATTGCTTTGAATCTATATATCAAGTTTTGAAGGAATGATAATATTGATTCTTGTGAAGATGTAAAAAGTATCTATTTACTAAAATCTTCTTTAGTCCACAATAGATATTTTACAAATTGACATTGAATCCAGAGGCTTTGCTAAATTATTATTTATACTGGTTTACTTTTAGATACTTAACAATTCATGTACACAATTTTGCTACTCGTAAGTAAAGATATTTTCCTTCTTCTTTTCCAGATGTGTGCCTTTTCTTTCTTTATCTTGCTTTATTGTATGTGCTAGGACCACCAGTATAATTCAGTCATGATAGTGAACATGTTTGTGTTTTTCCAGTATGAAGGATAAATATATAATATTTTATCATTGAGTATGGTGTTGGCCCTAAAAGTTTGATGGACAATTCATCACAATGAGGGATTTCTTTTTCATTTTTCCTGACTTGCTGAGTTTTTTTTTTTTAATCATGATAGTTATTTACTTTTCTTCAAATGACTTTTCAGCATCTGTTGAGATAATCATATAGTATTTGTTCTTTATTCTCTCAAGGTGGTGATTATATAGATCAATTTTCTAATGCTAAAGTAACCTTACAGTCCTAGAATATACTTACTTGGTGGTGATGGATTATTCTACATAGATATAGATATGTATAGAGATGGATTAAATTTTCTTTTTTTTTCCATAATTTTTGTGTCTATATCCATGAAAGATACTAGTCTTTAACTTTCCTCTTTGTAATGTCCTTACTAATCATTGGAATGCATATCATCATAATTTTATATATTAATGATTAATAATTTCCTCCTAGATCTCATCAAGATGGTGGCATAAGCAAACGCTGAACTCGTCTCCTCCCATGAACACAACCAAGTTACAACTATTTTTGGAAAAATTACCCTGGATAGAAAACTGAAAACTGGATAAAAAGAACCCCCACAACAAGGGACAGTCCTGACTAAGGTGGAAGAGGCAGAAATTCCTGCTGGAGAGAAAAAAAGCCACCTTTGGGAGCAGCAGAGCTTCTCAACTGGCCAGGCGGGAGCCACCCTAGGGTACGCAGCCCTCCCTAGAGGAGTGAGGTCCCGAGTGGGGGCTGATACTGCTATAAGCATCCTTCAGACTCAGCCCAACTGAGACGAGGGTCTTACTGTCTGGCTTCGCTGGCTGTTAACTGCAGCGAGGCTACCCCCAGAAAAGTTATCAGCCGAAAGCCGAAAAGATCTGAGTCTTAAAGGGCCCACGCACAAACTCACTCATTGCAGCAACCTAAAATCACCAGAAAGAAGGCTGACAGTCCTTTGGTGAAACGAGACTCACCTGGTGGGCTCTGGGTGCATCTTAGTGAGAGGAAGGACCTCTCTGGAGACTGAGACATTGATGGAGGCCATTGTTCTGACCTGGATCAGGCATGCTGATTCAGACCCTGGTGGGTGCCATTGAGATTCATCCCTTGGCCTGTTAGCCCAGGGGTCTGCCACACTCACTAGAGCACAGATTTAATCCAGTTCAGCCAGGAAAGGCAGGCTGACCTAGGGACCAGCCCCAGCAGCAAGCCCTCAGGCTCCTTTTTGGCCTGCATTGACTGGGTGCCTTGATCATCTACAAGCAGTTGAGTGTGTCCACCTCTGTGGGGCAAGGCCTGTGTAAGGACCAGGTGAACTGTGGGAGGCATTGGTGGAGAAGTGGGGGCCTCTGCAGTGCAGTGTTGGGGTATGCTCCAGGAGGTTGGGAAGTGTGCACAGACCAGGACTGTGTTGATGGTGTGTGTGGTCCTGTGGGGGGTGAGGCTTATCAGAGGCAGAAGACCTGTGCTTCACAAATAGTCATAAAAAGGATCAGCCCCACCTTCCAAAGTCTGAAACAATTGAGTACTCCCATGCCTAGGGCCAGCCCCACTCAGCTGCACTCCTAAGAGAACTGACAACAGCCTTGTAGGCCTGAGGCCTATTGCAACTATAAGCCCCCGAGCCTAGCAACCAGCTACACTGCATACCAACCCAACTAAGAGGAAAATTGCAACAGGCCTGTGCTGATAGACTTTGTAGCCAATGGTGCTGAGGCTCCCAAAATCGGATTTACAAACAGCTGGCCAGGGAAGGAAAGACTAGATTCCCTGGGTACCTTCAGTAAGAGCAACCCTGCCACAGCAGAAAGGCACAAGTACCTCACAAAGGGGTCACTCCTGGATCATTTGGACTGGTGAGGAGAGAGAACCACACTGCTGGGATTCATAAGACATCTCATACATAAGGGCACTTCTCCAAGATCAGGAGACTTGGCTGACTCACCTAACACATAGAAACAAGCACAGAGAAAGAGGCATAATGAGGAGACAAAGGAATACTTTCCAAGCAAGGGAACAGGACAAAACCCCAGAAAAAGGACTAAATGAAACAGAAATAAGCAATCTACTCGACAAAGAGTCCAAACAAAATATCATAAGGATGCTCACAGATATTGGAAGAAGACTGGATGAACACAGTGAGCTCATCAGCAAAGAACTGGAAAATATAAAAAAGAACCAATCAGAAATGAAGAATACAATACTGGAAATGAAAAATTCACTAGAGGGACCCAATAGCAGAGTAGCGAATGCAGAAGAATGGATCAGCGAGCTAGACGAAAGACTAGAGGAAATCACCCAAGCTGAACAGAAAAAAGAAAAAAGAATTAGACAGAATGAAAACAGTACCAGGGAACTCTGGGACGATATCAAGTGCACTAACATTTGGATTATAGGTGTCCCAGAAGGAGAAGAGAGAGACAAAGGGGGAGAAAACTTATTTGAGGAAATAGTAGATGAAAATTTTCCTAACCTAAGGAAGGAAACAGACATTCAAGTATAGGAAGCACAGAGAGTGCCAAACAGGATAAGCCCAAAGAAGCCCACAACAAGACATATTATAATTAAAATGTCCAAAATTATAGAGAAAGAGAGAATCTTAAAAGCAGCAAGAGAAAGGCCACAAATGACATACAAAGGAAAGCCGATAAGGCTATCAGATTTCTCAGCTGAGACCTACAGGT